ATACTTCGCAAAGAAAATACACGAGTGTCAATATGTACACAAAACACTGCTTGACATAGTTAGCCATTAGGTAACTATAACGAGAAGCTACTACACACGCACCAGAATGACTAAATTTAAAAAGCCTAATAACAGCTCAGCACTGATGGGTCCCTGGAGCAACTGGGATGTCTCCGAGATGCTGGCAGGAATGCGAAGTAGGGCAGCTGCTTTGGAACCAGGTTTGTTTCTCATAAAGTCCAACAGACCTCTACTGTTTGACATGGTAATTCCACTCCTAGGTATTTATCCAAGAGAAATGAAAACATGCTCACAAAACCAAACATTCATAGAAGGTTTATTTATGATAGTCCCATACCAGAAACAATCCAAATGCTCAACATCAGAATTGCTTGACAAATTCCAGTGTAGTCACACAGCGGGGTCCCAAGAAATGACTTGCGTGCATCAAGACAGACGAATCTCAAAAGCGTAATACTGAGAAAAAAAGCAGGACACTAAGTAAGCAGCACAGGTCTCGTGACTCCACTCATGTCAAGTTCTAGATTAGCCACTACAGATCTATATTTGGAAACTAGGTTAGTCTGGAGTGGAGGTGGGTGGTGAGATTGACTCTGAAAGAATGTGAGAGAATTTTGCGGGGAGGTGGTAATGTGCCTATTATGATAGGCATGTGGGGTACTTGGAGATAAACATTTATCAACACAGTACAGCTAATATTTGTACATTTTAATGTATGTAAATTTTCCTAAAACATAGTAATGTCAAAAATAATAAAAAACCGAGTGGGTAAAAGTAGGAGGAAATGAGAACGGCAAAGTGGGATGATTGTTGAAGCAGGGTGATGGGCACCCAGGGATTTAAATTATACTATTATGTTTACTTGGTGTATTTTTTAAGTTTTCCATAATAAAAAGTGAAATAAAATAAAGGGGAAGAAAAGGATAATTATACCTCCCGGGGCTGATGTGTTGGTGTGAGGCGAGGCTGGGGAGAGGTTTTGTAGGCTGTGAAGTGCGGCTGACATAAGCTCTCTCCGTGGAATCTGCCCCCCTCTCCCTCTGCTGGGGTTCTTGTTCTCTTTGTGCATTCTTGTTCTCCTTCCTGAACTCCCTGTTTTCCTCTCTCCCATCTGCCTAGCTCCCTTCTTTGCCTCAATTACCCTTTGACAATGGATGGCTCCAGATTTATCCTGGGGCTCTATGGCATCTGTCCCTGACTTTAAGGGAGATGATATAGAGGGGGCTTGCCCCCTGCCCCCAAGGTGCTTCCTGCCATTTCTCCGTGTCCCTTTCTCTGCTCCACTCCTCCACCCGTATGTCTCCCCAGACAGGGAAGCAGGTGACAGGCGATGCTTTGCTGCATTATTGTATTAGAGCTAGCACCGGTAACAGAGCAGAGAGGCTGTGTGGCCCTGACTTGTCACCTCCACCTGGTTTCCCTGAAAACTCTCAGAGTACAGGGAAGTCTGGCTGTGGTTCCCAGTCCTGCACCCTGCTCCACCCAGCCCTCCACCTCTTCCCTGGCTCCCAGCTGACGGGTGACAGCCTCACTGCACTGTCAGCACCCAGCCCTTGCACCAGACTCACTTTTGCCAGGAACCAGCTGAGCACCTGGCACTGCTCTGGAAACGCTGGCTTAGGGGCAGTACCTAGGAGATGCCCGTGCTCTGTGCTCACCTTTGTTCTCTTTTAACCATCCGTGAACTCAACGGATATTTATTGAGCACCTATTGTTTGCTGGGTGCCGTGTTGATGCTGTGGCCATAGAGATGAGCCTGGGTTATGGTCTGGTGGTGGAAGTGGCATAAACAGATGGTCACGATACATTATGACATTATGGTCAGGGACTGTTCCTGGAGTCCCTGGGA